TCTTTTGGACCACACAACAACAATAATAATTTTGCTGGTTAAAATACATAAACATGACAATCAGAACTTACAACCTTGATTTTTTTGCCTGTTCAACCATTTTTGTTGTAGGCCATTGTATACAAATAATCTATTTCAAGAGTCATAATTAGATAGCCAACAAAACAACTTTGGTAGTATATGAATATCAAGCTTCCCCTATCCAGTGGCGTTAAGTCCCTTTGAATATTTGGGTGAGACTACATATATGGTGATCTTTCAAACCTCCCTGTACAAAGTGTACTGGTGGCCATTCTTTATTTTCAGTGCATGTGTCCATTGTCCAGTGGCGTTCTGCTTTGCAAAGTCCAGAATAATTAGTTACTTACTGGACTATTATATATTATTACGTCTTCATAGCTTGTGCTCTTGGAATGTAGCATCATGTACATGCATGTGTTCAGTCTAAGTGTTTTACATGGAAGAATATATGATTCAGTTTGCATCCAGTACCTAAACATGTGAAATGTAAATTGGCATTCAAACTACGCATTATATACTCCTTTTACAACTCAACCCAGGTTCCTGTTTTGCCATATTTGCCCATGGAAGAATTTTGAATATGCAGGTCAAAGAATTCCTGTTTGATATAATTATGTATTATTCCTTGCTATGTCATAATCCTTAATGTGTTCATTTAAAATCTGAAAAAAGAGCTTCATTTTGAGTTTCCGGTCCGTTGCAGGTTTCCCAAACATACACAGCAAGTTGGTGGTTTCAAAGATCTACAAGCAGTTGAAGATCTGGAAGACCTTCAATTTTCAGTGTTGGGATGATAATGTAATATGTTTGTTGAACTTGGAGACTTAGCTCTGCCCATTTTGGTGGCTGTTAAGCCATTGTATGGCCACTTCCCCTTTTGTGGCACAACTTTATTTTGGTTATGTGGCATATCTAGAAACTGTTTGTTAAACCTGGAGACTAGCTCTGCCCATTTTGGTGGCTGTTAAGCCACTTCCCCTTTTGTGGCACAACTTCATTTGGTTATGTGCCATCTCGAAATATATATATGTACTCGTTATATTTGCTTCCTATGTTTATCGAATGAAGTATGAGGCCTAAATGTAACTCTGATTGAAGTGTATGCATAAATTGTGTGATGTCCTGATTTGCTAAAACATTGTGCATGGATATTAAATTAGACATTGTGAATTGTTATTAAATTATAGGTATATGCTGCCCAAAATTCTATTTTATTAATGTGATGGCATACAAACTGCCGGGCCAACAAGTTTTTACCGGCAGTTGCATTGCCGATAACTAAAATCCCTTTGCGCTAAGGAACCTGCCGGGAGAAAACTAACTGCTGGGAAATACGTACGTAACGGCAGTTAAACTGTCGGGAGATATCTATCTGCCGGGAGAAGTAATCCCCGGCAGCCGTTCTCATGGCGGTTCTTTCGGCCGGGAGAACTACCATCCCGGCAGCCAGTATGCCGTTTTAAGAGCTTTCTCCCGGCAGATAACATGCCATTACATTAGTGTTGTGGTGTAGTGAGAGATGCTTACGTTGCAACAGTTATGCAGTCCATTCCGCTTAATATTCAATTTTGGAGGACGCTAGTGGGAGCCCGTTGGGAAGCTTGGCTCAATCATGTTCGAACATTAATGGATGTTCAGCTGTCCCAATAGCCCAATCAGTTATGTTGGAAACTAACTAAGAATAGTGAATTCTCGGTGAAATCCATGTATTTGGATGTTATCAACTCTAGTGTGCTTCCTAGATCGAAACATGTTTGGAAAGTTAAAGCTCCTTTGAAAATCAAAGTGTTTATGTGGTTCGTGCATAAACAAGCTATTTTAACTAAGGATAATTTGGCAAAACGTAATTGGACAGGATCTACCAGATGTAGTTTCTGCGACCAACATGAATCAATCAAACATCTCTTTCTAGATTGTCCTATGGCAAAAATTATGTGGCGGTCGGTCCACATAACTTTTAACATTACTCCACCGAATTCTATCAATACGTTATTTGGGATGTGGCTTGATGGGATAAATTATGATACAGCAAGACACATTCGTGTAGGAGTGTGTGCTTCATTATGGGCAGTCTGGAATTGCAGAAATGATTTGGTTTTTAACAGAACAACAAATATCAACTTTTTGCAGGTTATCTTCAGAGGCACTTGAAAGTGCAACTATCCCTAGGTGGTTTTGGTAATTCATAACAACATATAGCTCATTGAGCTAATGCTATTCCAAGATGATTATTTCAGGAAAGCTCAATGATTGGCATGGCATGGATGTGAAAGTGGAACCCTCAAAATGCTAAGGACAAAGAATTGGCTCAAGCTCAAAAGTTCAAGACTCTTCATTTTATGTTTTAGTGATCCAAGATCACATTGAGTCTTTAGGAAAAGCCAATACTATCAAGGAGGGATGAGGTGTTGCTTAATGAGCCTCTTGCTTTATGTGCTTAGTGATATGCTCCAAAATCCTCAACCACCTTTCCATATCCACAAATGACCTAAACCCTAAGCCAAACTCAGTCATACCGATTCTTTCAATCCGGCGCCACCGAGTTTCACTTGTCATTTGCCACTGCCAAACCCTAGCAATTCGGTCCTACCGATAAGGATCTCGGTCTCACCGAGATGAGCTTGCAAACCCTCTGTTTCCCTTTCGTAACTTTTCGGTCTCACCGAAAGAGCGAATCGGTCCCACCGAGAATGCAAGGTAAACTCTATGTTTCCTTCTTGTAACTTTTCGGTCTCACCGAAAGAGCAAGTCGGTCCCACCGAGTTTGCCTGACCAACTCTCTGGTTAGCAAATTGCCGAACTCGGTCTCACCGAGTTTGTGCGATCGGTCTCACCGAGATTACGTTATGCCCAAACCCTAACCGAATCGGTCCTACCGAGTTGCATCTCAGTCCCACCGAAATTCCTAACGGTCACTAGGTTTACTATTTCGGTCAGACCGAGTTTTCTGATTCGGTCCCACCGAGATTGGTAGATTATGTGTAATGGTTGGATTTTGTGTGGAGGCTATAAATACCCCTCCACCTCCTCTCCATTCGAAGAGAGAGCCATCGGAACACATACACCATTCCTACTCATATGTTCTGAGAAAGAACCACCTACTCATGTGTTGAGACCAAGATATTCCATTCCTACCATATGAATCTTGATCTCCAGCCTTCCCCAAGTTGCTTTCCACTCAAATCTTCTTTCCACCAGATCCAAATCCTATGAGAGATAGTTGAGTGTTGGGGAGACTATCATTTGAAGCACAAGAGCAAGGAGTTCATCATCAACACACCATTTGTTACTTCTTGGAGAGTGGTGTCTCCTAGATTGACTAGGTGTCACTTGGGAGCCTCCGACAAGATTGTGGAGTTGAACCAAGGAGTTTGTAAGGGCAAGGAGATCGCCTACTTCGTGAAGATCTACAGCTAGTGAGGCAAGTCCTTCGTGGGCGATGGCCATGGTGGAATAGACAAGGTTGCTTCTTCGTGGACCCTTCGTGGGTGGAGCCCTCCGTGGACTCGCGCAACCGTTACCTTCCGTGGGTTGAAGTCTCCATCAACGTGGATGTAGGATAGCACCACCTATCCGAACCACGGGAAACCATCCGTGTCTCCAATTGCGTTTGAATCCTCCAAACCCTTCCCTTTACATGCAAGTTGCATGCTTTACTTTCCGCTGCCAATAAACTCTTTGCATGCTTGCTTGAATTGTGTGATGATTGCTTGACTTGCTCTAGGATAGCTAAAATCTGCGAAGAACTAAAATTGGGAAAAGGCTAAGCTTTTAGTTGGTCAAGTAGTCTAATCACCCCCCCCTCTAGACATACTTTCGATCCTACAGCACTGCGTTGATCCGTATGTGGTCGCTACTGACTCCGACGGAGGCCAGGGAGCGTTTGGTTGCTGGGTCTACCCGATGGGAGATGGTAGTACGGGATATTTTCAACCGGTTTAGATGGCGGTCATGTAATAGGATAGGCATGTAGTGGTCTTATCTTCTTATGCCAGCCGGTTGTGGCTTTGCCTTTTTTATCTTAAGCTCGGTTGGAGCCTTTTTCCTTTCTTTGTTCGAGACTTGGAGACTTGTGTTGGATATTTTGCTTATTAATAATATTGCCGTATGCATCATTCAGATCTGGGGCATACCCCCCTTTTTGAAAAAAAAGTGCGCTCGAAAAGATGGAAGGAAGAACAAAAAAGTGAAATTAATTTCCAGGTACTTCGTACGTTTTTATTTACTCCGTGTATTAGGTTTGGTCAAACTCAAGCTTTGTAAATTTTGACAAAGTTTATAGACAAAAATATTAACATACAATAACAAAACGATACCACTAGATTCATTATTGTATGTACTTCCACATCATATAGATTTGTTATGGGAAATATTAATATTCTTTTCTATGAACTTGGTCACAGTCAACTTTAATATGCGGAGTAAATAAAAACAAATGAAGTACCAGGAAATTAGCAGAACCGTGAACTTACTATTAGATGGTGTTTGGTTCTCTAGTCCTAGGACTTTTTCTAGTCCCAACTAAAAAGTCCCTCCCTGTTTGTTTTCAGAGACTAAAAAGTCTCTACGTCCTTCCTAGAGGTTATTAAATGACCATGTTGCCCCTAGTATATAGAAAAATAACAATTAAACAACACCACGGGATGACAAGCCAATGGGTGCATGAAGGGGCATTATTGAAAAAGTCTTAAAAAGTCCCAAAAAGACTATCCTTGAGTCTTCTTCATTTAGTTCCAAATGACTAGTTTAGTCCCTAAAAAATTCCTCCCGTTTGATAAAAAAGTCTCCAAAAGAGACTTTTTTGTAATACACGCACGCGGGATCCAAAGCTGATGCACATGCGTTTGTGTCAGTACCATTAATGAGGTCAACTCGACGACGAATACGAGTAACCTCGATCGATGCCCTAATGGAAAAAGATTACAGTATATTAAACAAGGGTTTTGTACTAGCGCCCTGCTGCCCTGCCCTATAGCCGAATGCCGCATAGCACAAGCACGGCAGCAACACTGATGAAGCCCTTCTCGCGGAGCCTCCAGAGGGACCTGGACGCCGCAGTCGACGACGATGACGGCAAGCAGTACTCCGCCGACGACGGGGATGGCAAGCAGAACACCGAGAGAGGCCTCCGGCGGCCGTCCCGGCTGTTCTACCTCGCGCTCCTCTACACCGTCTTTTGGGCCCTGGTATTCTACCACCACTTCTCCACCAGCTCGCAACAATCGGGCAGCGCGGCGGTGGCAGCGCCCACCGTGCTCCAGCTCAAGCCGTCGGCGTTCTTCTCGGCGTCTCGCTTCTTCCGCCGGGACCCGTGCGCCGGCCGGTACGTGTACATGTACGACCTGCCGCCGCGGTTCAACGCCGACCTCGTCCGCCAGTGCAACCGGGTCTCGATCTCCTCCCACGTGTGCAAGGACGTGTCCCACGACGGGTTCGGCCCGCCCATCACGGGCGGCGGCGAGGGCGGGTCGCTGCCGGAGCGGGGCGCCTACGACACCGACCAGTTCATGCTGAGCATCATCTTCCACGCCCGGATGCGGCGGTACGAGTGCCTCACGGCCGACCCCGCCGGCGCCGCCGTGGTGTACATCCCGTTCTACGCCGGCCTGGACGCGGCGATGCACCTGGACAACAAAGACCTCGCGGCACGGGACGCCCTGTCTCGGGACCTGATGGACTGGCTGGCGCAGCGGCCAGAGTGGCGCGCCATGGGCGGGCGCGACCACTTGCTCGTCTCCGGGAGGGGAACATGGGACTTCCTCCGCAGCCCGGACTCAACCGGCTGGGGTAACACTCTCATGACCTACGACCTGGCCATCCGCAACGCCACGTTCCTCAGCACCGATGCTAGCCCGCGGCACGGCAACGACTTCGCCGTGCCGTTCCCGTCGCACTTCCACCCCTCCTCCGACGCCGAGGTCACCGACTGGCAGGACCGCATGCGCCGGCTGGACCGCGCGTGGCTCTGGTGCTTCGCCGGCTGGCCCCGTGCCCATGGCGTCGGTATGGGGCCCGAGCGCGCCCAGATCATCGAGCAGTGCGGCAAGTCGAGCCGCTGCTCTCTGCTTGGCAAGTTGAACAACTACGTGCCCATGCGGCTGCTCGAGAGCGCCCAGTTCTGCATGCAGCCGCGTGGCGACGGATACACGCGCAAGTCCACCTTCGACTCCATCCTCGCCGGCTGCATCCCGGTTTTCTTCCACCCGGTGTCCGCCTACCTACAGTACACCTGGCACCTGCCCAGGGACTACCGGACCTACTCCGTCTTCATCCCTCACGGCGACGTCGTCGGCCGGAACGTCAGCATCGAGGAGGTGCTGCGCAGGATACCGTCGGAGAAGGTGGCGCAGATGCGGGAGCGGGTCATCGAGCTTATACCCACCGTGATGTACCGGCACCCGGCGGCCAAGGGGGTTACGTTCAAAGACGCGTTCGACGTCGCCCTTGACCGTGTCCTCCACCGGGTGGCCAAGCGCCGGCGTGCCGCGGCCGAGGGACGGGAGTACGTGGACAGCGTCGACGGACGTGATAGCTGGAAGTACGACCTCATGCTAGAAGATGGGCAGAACAAGATAGGTCCGCACAAGTTTGATCAATATCTGGTCATGCACGCAACCAAAGATTAAAGTGCCTAGTTAATTACACTCGGATGCGGCGCGATCAAACCGTCGTCTGGTATAAAAAATGCTAGACATACAAAGATTTACAAGCTTTTACAAGCTTTTTTCATCTAACAACCAATCACAAACCTCTCCCTCTCTCATTTTCAAAGGATGGGCCGTCCCGCTCACTTGTTGACCAATAAAAATTCACCCACCTGTAAAAGTCTATAAACTGTTTGTACATGTAGCATTGCCGGTCTGATATTCTACCATGCATCATCACCTCCTCCCTTGCAGCAGCGAGAGAGGATTTTTCTACCTCCCGTGCGTGCGTTCATCATTTTTTTATTAATGTTGTATGCGATCTTTGACATCATGTGCATAGTGTTTTCTCTCTTCTGTAACATGCAATCACATATTATTTCCCACTCATCTAGTTTCATTCAGATAAATAGATGTCTAATATATTTTGAAATACAAGTTTGATTTACATTATTTTTGAAAAAAATGTGTTTTTTTTCTGGCAAGATCTTTAAAACAAGACCGATATGGAATATATTCTTAGAAATTGTTATTTTTTGACAACTGAATCACCATGTTTCAAAATTTGTTTTTTAAAACTTATTCAAATACTATATTCAAAAGTGATCTCGTTTTAAAGTCCTTGTCATCATAAACATAAACATGCAAACAAATTATAAATTAGACTTTTGGTACAAAAGACATAACAGATTTAAACATGGGAATAAGATGAAAAAGTATGGGATAGTGGAGCGTAAGGCTCATACCTGAACAGTATGCCTGCATGTGGTGAAAGAAACACCTGGCCAGTTTTGAGTACCTATGCATGTTTCCGGATCTCAAGGCAAATCAAGGGCTCTCCCATGAACGGGACCTGCCGTGCATGGGAGAATTGATTTTCTTCCCTTGCAGCGTCTTTGGAACATCGCACAGGGTCGGCACTATGTTTTGGAGGGCCCTGGGGCGACGACGATGACATGGATCCTTAAGAGCATCTATAGCCCGACTTGGTAATTAAAGTCAGCCCTCTATGTGTCCGTCGCACGCCCACTGATGGCGTCGGACAGCCTTGCATATGTCATGTCTGACAGCCACACCTCAAATCTAAATTCTCAAATTAATTCATGCATATTCGTGCGCGTCACGTGAATGTCCCACGTAAATAAAAAAAATTGTTGGTAGCGGAAATACATATTTCGAACGTAAAATTTATTTAAGTGCACAATTTGAATATTAGCTCATTGGTTTCCATTGCATGTCCACATATACTCCATAAGATCATTGAGTAGCCGTGCATGCACCTGATGATCTCAAAGTTTCCCATGAATCTGCAGAAAATTCATAACCCGATCTGCATCTTACATGTTGTTCCAGAATGTGGACTTGTTCTCCAGGCGTCTCAAAATCATTGTTTGGCCTACTCCATCACCCTCGTCCTCGACAATCATATAGTGCAAAATAACACAACATATCACCAGTGATGAGTATTATATTTACACTCCTCTAAACCGAGTTTAAACCGATATACTTCATTAAAGCCGAGATATGACCAAATGAAAGGAAAACTAACATGTTAGAAAGTAAATTTGCCATGTTTTCAAAAGGTAAAAATGTTACGAAGATCAATTTTTCTTACATTTGTCGTGTGACTATTCCAAAAAAAAAATGATTCTAATTTGCTATGATGTATGAGACACACTTGTCCGAACAATTTGCCATCTGAAGAGTCCACACAATTTTCTTTTTGCCATTATATGCTCAATATGAACTAGAACTTGTAGGGCATATAAGAATATGAAAAAAAGAAATTTGCTATGGCAGATGCATGTCAAAAGTTGTCACTGTATATTTATTATAATTTTCGTGCTTTGTATAAGGAAATTGCCATTTATTTAAATTAATTCTGCCATGATACAAGAAATTGAAATTTGCCATGTTACTTGAACTAAACTTGACATGGGAGGTACATAAATTAAGTTTGCCATGATCCATAAAGTAAGTTTTCCATGTTTGAGAAATAAAAATAAATTTAAAAAATGATTCTTTAGTAAAAATGCCATGACACATGAAATAATGTTGCCATGGTATGAGGAAAAGAATTTGCCATGGTCCATGAAGTAAATTTGCCATTATATTAAGAACGAAATTGCCATGGGGCATGAACTGAATTTTCTTGCATTATGCATATGAACATTACAAAAAAATATCCAAAACTTGCCATGGTTTTAAAGGCACAAATGTTTTCAAAACTTGCCATGCGAATGAACTGAAAGGATGCAATTTTCGGGATGTAGAAATTGCCATGGCACCGCCATACATTATTTTAATTGACATGGCAAAATTACTAGGATGTAGGGAAAATGTTAACAAAATGTTTCAAAGCTTTGGAATTAGTTGTCTAAAACACATGTCAATTTTTTGAAAATGTAAATTTACCAGGGTCCATAAAGTGAAATTTCCATGTGCCATAAAAGTGAATTTTCCTTGGTTTAAAATACCATTATGGAGGAAATCGTTAACTGGTAGCTGCTCGGTTGGCTCGCGAGTAGGGGATTAATAGGCCAATCAACAAGTTAATCGGTTAGTTAATCAATTAATGGCACACTTTCTCAATAATCGGCTATTTGGTGACCCTACGAGTAGGGATTAATCGGAAAGCTAGCTGGTTAATTGGATGAATTCTTCAACAGAAAAAAACATGTCAAGTAACCTCTCTACACCATGGAAATTTACCATGTATCTATAAAAAATAATTTGTCATTGTCCATGAAATTTTCAATGGCAACATATTGTATTATGTTGCCATGGTTGAAAAATTATTTCATTTGCCACCAGAACAAAACAAGATGTTGAGTTACATAATCACAAAAAGAGAAGACTTGCCGTGGCAATTGTTGAGACATGGCAAGTATTCATAAACAACAAACCATTAACAAAAATTAATGAATTACACCTAAAAATGTTGTCTGCAGTAGTCCATTCATTTTACACAAGATTGTCATGTGCTATAAATCAAATTTTCATGAATTTTCCGTGCAACTATTTACAAGATATCTAAATTTGCCATGATCAGTCTATCCAGTTTGCACAAAATTATCATGTGCTATAAATCAAAATTTCATGAATTTACCGTGTAATTATTACAAGATTTCTAAATTTTCCTTGATGATGTGTGAATTCATTACTCGTAGCAACATTACATATAATCTGCGATGAAAGAAGAAGCAATCACAAAAAAAGCGGAGAGAGCATTCATACCACCGGAGCATCAACATCTCCTGCTCGGACATTTGCACGGATCGCTCAACAATGGCGGAACTGGCGGACGATGAAGCCGCCGACCTCTCCAAATCCTCTCCGCAAGCACCATCAGCTTCTCTTGTGGCTCTCTGCCTCCGCGAGCACTAGCTAGCAGCTCCTGCGGGGCACAGCTGGAATAGTGTTTTTTTAAATGGTGGAGGGCACCGACCCATCGATGGCTGTCAGATGAATGGAGGACGCGATGTCAGGCCGCCGCATCACCCCCCGTGTATGGAAAACGGCAAAGATGGAGCTTTAGGAAGGAAGCCATACTGTCATGAGCAGGCATCGCGCGCCGCTGCAACCCCGGCATGGCTGCTGCTTGTCGGATTGCTGTTGGCTGCTGCCTGTCGGATCACCGCTGGCATCGAAGGGGACTCCTCTCACATGGCGAGGATGGGGAGCACCACCGGCCGTCATGAGCAACAGTCGGATGCCGTTGTGACCCCACCATAGTCACTGCCTGTCGGATCTAGCTCGTCCACTAGCATTTTCTCAGGGTCTCGTCGGCAGCCTCCTCGCACACGGCCGCCCGCACCACGTGCCCCGATAAGGCAGCGTCATTTCATGCACTACCCACTCCAGAGGGACTCGCCGGGATCCGCAAGCTCACACTATAGTGCCATCGTCGGGATCACCAGGGATGGAGGATTCAACAGGAGAAAGGAAAAAAGAAAGAAAATGGGCGGGGTGACGGAGTGGATACGGGAGGTCCTGAGTGGGTGAGTGGACGATGTGGGTGGGGTGAAGAAAAAAAGGGATTTGTTCAACCGCTCGCGTGCTTATAGAGAACGCCTAAGAAAATGACGTGGCACCCAGGATTGCTTGAAGATGTGTACGTTTCATCCGGTGGCCAACGAACCATTCGGCCAAAAGCTTAAAAATCTGATGTCAGATTTTTACTAATTCCGTTTTGGGCTACGCTAGGCGTCAACCGGCCGTAGGAAAGTAAAATGCATCCGCCTGCTCAACACCCGTATGTGATGTGATCAAACCGTCTGGTCTTCTTCCTCTCCCCTGCTCCCTTGCAGCGTCTTGGAACATCACAGCACCGCACATCCCTTTCACGGCATCCCTCGCAACACCTGCCATCTGACTCACAGCAGCCATCATCAGCAATGGTATGCTCTATTGCAGCATGTGTCAGCCGTCACAACTTCAAGTCGCTCTGTCGCGACATCGCCGGCAGCTGTCACAGCATCAGCGTTGCTCCGTCATATTATCGTCATCAGTTGCCGCAGCCATCACAGCATCACTAGTCGCTACATCGTATTATCGCATTCCGCTCTCGTTGCTGCAGCCATCACAACATCACGTATTGCTCCGTCATATTATCACCATCCCCTCTTTTGCCGCAGCCATCAGAACATCGCCAGTTGCTACATCAAAGCAGCCGCCACAACATCAGCACCGCTTCATCGCAGCAGCCAACATCACCTCCCCTCACCACAAACATCGCCGACATCACAAAAAATCTCATCGATCCATAGCACCAGGTGTGCCTCTCGACGTTGTGTTTGTCGCAGTTCATCTCCCAGTTGTTGCAAATTTGCTCTTGTTTCCATCACTTGGCATTGGGCATGGGCGAAGCTAGGAAAAAAGGTCACAGTTGTCAACATGAACAAGTAGCACTAATGTATCCCCTACAAAGAAAAGTAGAAATAATGTATGGCAAAAATATGTGGAACTCATATCAACTAACATGTCTACAATGTTTCTTAGTAATATCATATAAGTAAGAAACCATAGTTGCCATCATAACAAAATAAGCCACGTTTAAAAAAGTAGTTACCTTTGTATTTTTCTTGACCTCTACGATCTTTCATCTTAAGAAATTAACCTATCACATTATATGTTTACTACGTACAATTCAAAATTAGCAAATAAAAGGAGGCAGTTAATACTAACATATAACTAGCAGAACGCCCGTGCGTTGCTACGGGCTATGCATATATAAATTAATCGAACAAATGATTAAGGTTGTCTGTATGGTCAAGGTTCAGTTGTTCTCAAAGGTCCGGACATGTTCGGACATCAAACGAACACTTAGTAGGCTCTTCAAAATTCGATTGTATGGACAGTCCGGACTCCCCCAAATTTAGACCATATATGGAGAAGAAATGCGGTTGTTCGGACTATCCCCCATGTTATCTCCTACACATGGGTTCAACACAAAAACCCCACCCCACAACGTATGGCCCCTTTTTCTCTCGGACCCTCCCTTTCTCACTCAGTCTCCCGCCTTAGTGGGACATTTCTCGCTGGAGCCTCCTTTAAGATCAAAGGACACCCACCTCACCTTCGTCATGTGTTGCAATAAAGATGAAATTTTTCATATTTACTGTATAATAAAGTGGATTAAACTAACACATACTATTGACATAAAATAATAAATAACTATAGAGATCAGTCTCGAAGGTCCATTCAACTTCGCAAATGCACACTGACATGGGAGGTAAGTGGCAACCTGAAAGTATTCCTAGGCACCAATAAGCTCCACCTCCAGCCCAGATACCATTCATTGCTAGAAGGGATAATTGATGTTTTTCTCTTCCTCGTCCTTCCCCACATCTTCTATTCCTAGTCTCTTCGCCAACCAGTTTCGTTGACGCCAACATCAGCGCGTTTATCAGCGACGCCTCATCTTCTTCTTCTTCTTCCTCGCCAATTTTAATTCTCATTCCTACTTATCTTTTGTAATAATCTTTCTTTTTTGTTTTGCTTTATATTTTTGAAACACTCTTTCCATCTCCAACACCATGGACCACTTGGTCGTTTTAGTTCCTTTTTCCTTCTTATTCATGCAGCACTATCCCTTTCAACTATAGCACGAACCACCTCGCCAATCTAGTGTCGTGTTGTACTCTTCCGCGAACGTTTCGAAAATCATCAACATGTGGACATCCTGCACAGCATGGTCGTCATCCATCTTGATGAACGCTAGGTCGTCCATGTCGCGGGCACATGGTGTCCGTTGTCCATGTTGGCAAGTGGTGCTCGACCATGTCGCTGAGAGCCTGTTGATTGTCCTTGCCGACGAGTGCTTTTAAAATGATTCAACGAGATGAACTGCTTGCTTAATTAATTAATTAATTACACAAATAATGAACAACCTACCTAATTCTTTGTATGCCTGATTAACTGCCAACCAAATCGACTAATTGCCCACCTAATTGGAAAAATCACTACTTCTAATTATCTATAGGCATAATTAAGTGTCTACCTAAACCATTAATTATATTAATGACTTGGTTTCGAAATTGATTGGGTGCAAAAAAATCTATTTAAATGGACCTAATTAATTGCATACATAATTAACCATTTAGTTAATTAATTACATTAATGGTTTTATTTCCAAATTGATTCAACGCTCGATTTGCAAAATATTTTTGCATGAATGGCTGCTACGAATTACGGCGACTACCAAGTATTCTACGACACAATTCCTTAACGAATTTCTTAATATTTGAATGGACACACTTGATTTGAGAATATAGTCTGTATGTCTTTGTGTATTAATGACAAGAAATATAATATGGCCGTGTCCACGAACACATGTACGTGGTGGTATGACGATACATCTTCCATCATGGCCGTCCTTGACATCGTGATGCACGCCTTGGCATTCTCGAGTATCACACAAGTGTTAGGCCTGGCCGCGACATCCTCCATGGTGTCGCGCACGGCGTCCTCCGTATGGGCGCGCGGATGCGTACGCCCACAAGTAAAAGATATGTTCTTTTGTTGTTTAGGAAACTTGTGATAGTCAATTAATAGTGGAGATAATAATAATGACATAGTGTGCAGGACTAATGATTTGTTATTGAGGAATATCTCATTTTTTGAAAGGTTATCAAGGAAAATATTATATCTATATTTTAGGAAGGTACTCTCAAATATACGGTGCGAGTTCCGAATTCTTAATTACCTATTTATTTACGTGATTGGAATGAATCAGAACCTGCCAAAGTAAGCACTAAACAAGATATCCCCTTCAATAAGATTTGGGTTTGTAATGGAAAGGAGAAAAACCAGTTGGTGGGGGTGGTGAGAGGTGACGAATAAAAACCGGACGAAAATAAACCGTACCAGGCTACATTACTAGGGAAAACCTTATACACAGCATCTTAGTAGTAGCGCTGGACAAAATCATGCGCTACTGCTACTTAGTAGTAGCGTTTGTAAATAAACCCCGCTACTACTACGGTTTTAGCAGTAGCGCTTACTAGCAAAACATGCTGCTGCTAAGTTTGTACTGGGCGCTGATGGCTAGCTCCACTTAGCAGTAGCGCGTATCCGTACCTAGCGCTACTGCTATGCTCCATAGCAGTAGAGCTTTTCACGTAACCA